AAGGCACATGACACCATGCTTAGCATTTCTTTGTTTCTTTCCTGTATACGGGCTTTTTGATCTTTTTGAGACAGGGTCTCATTGTAGCCCCAGCTGGCCTGGAATTTGCTATGTAGACCAGGCTGGCCTTGAACTCACAGAGATCCACCTGCCTCTGCCTCCTGAGTGCTGGGACTAAAGATGTGCACCACCATGCCCGGCTTATTATTTTTATTTTATGTGTATGAGTGTAATGCCTGCATGTAGGTGGAATATTGTGCAATGCCCCCAGAGGTCAGAAGAGGAAGTCAGATCCCCTGGAACTGGAGGAGCTTCTGTTCCTCCTTTACTTCTCCTACCCTCTAATTGCCTCCTTTACTTCCTCTAATCTTGAACCTTAGGTACCATTGACTTTTCTCAATATATAGGGAGGGCTGGGGATGTAGCTCAGTTGGTAGATGCTTGATGCTTACATAGCATACATGAAACCCTGGGTTAGATCCCCAGCACTATGTGAAGCCTGGCATAATGGCACATGCCTGAAATCCCAGCAGTGGGGAGGTGGAGGCAGGAGGCTGAAGAGTTCAGGTCATCCTTGGCTACATGAGACTTGGCTCAAAAAAGCAAAAATAGGGGCTGGAGACATGGCTCAGCGGTTAAGAGCACTAGCTGCTCTTACAGAGGACTCAGGTTTGGTTCCCAAGCACCCACATGGTGGCTAACAACTGTCCCTAGCTCCAGTTCCAGAGGATCTGACACCCTCTTTTGGCCTCTGTAGACTTTGCATGTATGTGGTACTCTTACATCCAGGCAAAACACTTATATACATAAAAATAAATTCAAGGGGCTGGAGAAATGGCTCAGCAGTTAAGAGTACTGGCTGCTCTTGGAGAGGACCTGGGTTCGAGGTTTGAGGATGCTGCAGAAACAGGTAAATTGGAGGTCGAGGGAGGGTCTGGGGAAAATCCCCCACTGCAGGGGAGGATGCGGTAGGAAAAGGAGGCTGACTTCCATCCCCTGGACTGGGCTAACAGGCTCTAGAGCAGGGAGGGGAGACTGGGGAAGCTAGCAGCCCCAGCTGTTTGCTTCCTCCCCTGGACTGGAAGCTCCTGGTGGATGGGGGCAGGGGCCTCGCCCTTTTCTCTGTGTTTCATTTCCAGAGCGACATCACAAGCTTCTCTTAAAAACCCAGGCACTGATGGAATGAAATCGAACATGTTAAGCAGCAGGAAGATTGGCCACCGCCCACACCAGCGAAGCCAGGCTGGCACTCAGCACCTCCAGGCAATGAAGAGACTTCCAAGACCAGGGGGTCCTGCCCAGCACCCTTGGTGGCTCAGCAGTCCCAAAGGGCAGAGCCCCCTAGTCTGGAATGGGGGAAGGGGCTGAGGGAGCACCATGGGCTCCTTTGTCAGACCCAGGAAGGAGAGTGGGGGCAGCTACAGGAAGTAGGGGGTGGGAAGCTCCCTACGGAATCTACCCCCCCCAACCTCCTCCCCTCCTCACTTGCACTGCTCTTGCACATGCTCACTGTGCCCACGAATTGGGTTGGGGGGGCACTGCCTGGCACCCCCACTTAAAGGGCCAGTGCCAACCCTGCTGTTCCCAACGGTGGCAATAGAACCAGCTGCACACCCTCCCATTCTGAGTTACTTCCCTACCTCCTGACCCATCCCAATACCTCTGCCCATTCTACTATCCCTCATCCTTGACCCACTGCTGGCAGGTCTGCCATGGGTACTGGAATTGCCACCTGGGGTCAGAGAGTCCCTGCTTGGAAAGAATGGGAAGCTTCCACATTCAGTCCTATGAAGGAATTACTCTCTGGGCCTCCCCTGGCCCAGATCAAGAGCTCAGAAGGAAGTAAGCCACCGAGCTTTACTCTGAAAGCTGGTTTTCCCCAACGAGGGGGGTGAGGGGGAAGCCTCAGTTGTCCACTGGGACAGAGTAGAAGTCCAGGCTTCAGGACTGGTAGCCAGAGAGAGAACAGCAGGAAAGAAAGTAGGGCACATAAAAGGACTCACACCTGGCTCCCACCTCTCTTCAGCAATGAGCCCCCCAAGATGATCTCTTCTGACACCCCTGACCCTGGGATTGGGGGACCAACTGGAGGCCAGAGTTGACTCTCTTCACAGACGCCCTCCCCTTCAGTCCAGGGTCTAACCCTTTCCCAGTTCACACCCTTTGCTTTGTTTTCTTCTTGCTCCACCCCGACCATTGTCCACACCCCCACCCCCCAGCCTTGGGAAAATTAATTTACCTCGGTGTTGTCCTGGCCAAGAGCCCTTCAGCCATTGTGTGTGTGTGTGTGTGTGTGTGTGTGTGTGTGTGTGTAGTGGGGAACTGACAGCTTTCCCTCCCTCCTCACACTCCTCAGCTCCCAGACCAAGAGGGGGCCAAACTCCCCAACTTCCCTTTCCCCTTCCCCAATATCTTGCATTCATGGAACACCCCCAACCTGGTCCATATCCCTCCCCCACATTCCAGCAGCCCTTTGGAATCTTCTTCCTCTCCGAGTTTTACACACACACACACACACACACACACACACACACACACACAGGCTTGCCTCTGGGTAAACAACCTTGTCCTGGCCCGCCTCCCTCAGCTCCAGGCAGTTTTCTGAGGAATGCTGTACTGGGAGGCTGTAGGCCTTGGGTCTCAGGCTAGTATCCCTGCAGGGAAAGGCAGGCCCCCTGGCAAGCTATCCTGGAATCTGGAAAGTCACTTCCTCTCTGAACCTTGGGTTTCCCATCTGCAAAGTGGGGACAATCATTCCTGCTGCCCTTTCTGATTGCTTTCCAGAACGAAAGGGAAGGAGGTGAAAACCATTGGTCAGGGCTCTAGTGACCCCATCCCCTAGCCTGGGACTTTGCCTTTTCTTGAAACCAATCCCTTCCTTCAATCTATTCTCAGCTTGCTTCACTGTAGAAGGTGGCGACCAGGCCTGGGTGTGTCAACACAGAAATAAAAGTCGTCTTGGCAATACACAGCGCTTGTCAACATTTCCATCCCCAACAACTCCCAGCCCCAAGCCTGGCTCTTGCCCAATGTGGTTGTCCCAAAGCCTCTGGAAGGGAAACTAGGCTGGGTCCGCCAGGTCTCTATGCCTCCCTATGTCTTTTGCTGGAGACAAGGGCTAACTTCCCCTGTCACCACTGAAGTTATCCTCAGTGCCAGTCAGCAATGGCACAGGATGATGTAAAAAAACAGTGTCTGCTGGAGGGTGGGTCTGAGTGTGTAGGGGTGTTAAGAGCCCTTTTCAGAGCCCAACACTGAAGGTGGAGGCACACTGTGCGTCTTTGCATTCTCTGCACGGTCCCTGTACTCCTTTGCATGGCAGTCAAGCCAAGGGCTCACACTTCATAGGGAAACTGATCATAAGCATTAGGCCAACAGGAGGAAGTTGTCAAGAGAGGCATCAACAGAGTGTTGGAGAGCAGCTCTGCTAAGGACCCGCGTGTTGCCCCCTCTGCCTTATGACTTTATTTGCCACCAGGGGATATTTCCTTCTGTGAGTGCTTACTTCTAGTATCCTCCCAGAAGGTAAGGGAATAAACTGTGATGACTAACCTCAGGTGGTAGCAGGGGCTGTCAAGATCAAGGAGGCCCAGACCCCTGAACTGTGGAGAGAATACAGGGAACTGGGGAACAAGGCCTGAAGAAACCCTATGCTTGGGCCTTCTCCAAAAGCCCAGCTCCTACCTCCTAGTAAGGTTCTCAGCAACTCTTGCTATCTGGGGGGCCCGGTTCTGTAGCCCAGGCTGACTTGGAACTTTCCAGCCCCCTGCCCTATTATCATGTAGCATCTGGTACATCACGTTCTATGGAACCTGGAAGCTCCTGACAAAGCTCCCCCTACCTCTAACTCTTCATTGCGGGATGACTGGTCCAAAGCACATGGAGTGAAATTCAGGTGTCCTGGAGCCCCAGCAAGGACTCAACTAGAAGCTGGCTGTCTTCCCAGGCTTGGAGCTAGGGGACAGAGACATCCCTGGGACAAATGGTTTTTTGTTTTGGGTTTTTTTTCCCCAGTACTAGGGACTGAACCATGGGATTGAGAATGTTAAGCAGGTGCTCTACCACTGACCTATATCCCTAGTCCATAAACTTTTTTTTTTTTTAAAGATTTGTGTCTGTATATGTATCTATGTGTATTTATGCACATGTGCGTGAGTCCCCACGGAGGTCAGAAGAGGGCGCCAGATCACCTGGAGCTGGAATTACAGGTGGTTGAAGCCACCTTAGATTCTGGGGACTGAATTCCAGTCCTCTGAAAGAGCAGAAAGCATTAACCACTGAGCCATCTCTCCAGATACCACAAAGGGGTTTTGGCTAGGGATGTAGAGGAGGGTGCTTGCCTAGCATGCACAAAGCCCTGGTTTGATCGCCAGCACAGCATAAATCAGGTATGGTGGTACACACCTGTATCCTAGGACTCAGGAAGAAGAGACAGAAGGAACAGAGGTTTAAGGCCAGCCTAGACTACATCAAACTCTTCAAAAATAGACAAATTAAAATTTTTTGGAAAATAAAAAGGGGATGCTGGAGAGATGGCTCAGTAGTTAGAGCTCTTACAGCTTTTGCAGAGGTCCTGGGTTTGATTCCCAGCACCCACATGCCAGCTAACAACTGTAACTCCAGTTCCAGAGCATTCAGAGTCTTCTTCTGGCCTCTGCACATACATATATATAGGCAAACACTCATACACAAATATAAATAAATCTTTGGGGGCTGAAGAGCTGGCTCAGTAGTTAAGACCACCGGCTGATCTTGAAGAGGATCTAGGTTTGGTTCCCATCACCCACATGGCAGCTAACAACTATCTGTAACTAGTTCCAGGAGAGCCTATACCCTCTTTTGGCCTCTGTGGGTACTACATGCATGTTTTGCCCTTACATATATGTAGGCAAAATACTCATACACATAAAATAAAAATAAATTTTTAAAATGTTATTTTAAAAACGAAAAGTTTTGAGTCTCAGAAAAGCCCTAGTGAAATCACTTCTAGCCATTCCCACTGAATCTCACAAGACTATTTAATTTCTCTGTAAAACATAAGATGACATCAAAGAACCAATTGTGGAAGTAACAAGATAGAAGTCTGAACTTGTCTTAGCTCTTCTCAGTGGAGGTGCTGAGAGTGCTCTTCATCTGTCACCTGGCTCCTTGTGACCCAAATGGCCTGAGTAGATATGAAATGGGGCCTCTGCCTTGGGTCCACCTGGCCTGGGGGGGGTCCCTTCAGTGGCTGGCTACCCCTGATCGCAGCAGCTGCCCTCTCGGTTCCGTATCTCATTCTCTTGCCGGAGCCGCTGGTTCTCAGTCCGGAGCCTCTCCACCTCAGCAGCCAGCTCCTCCACCTGGTGACAGGACTGCCTGCTGAGGCACCCCTGTAGCTGCTGGAGCCTCCGAGTCTCCTGCTCAGCCTGTGACAGACGCCTCTCTAAATCCAGGTAGTCCCGAACCAGCTCCTGCTTGCTTCGGCCTTGCAGACTCTCGGTGTGGTAACGCTCATAGGCCTCAGAGAAGTCCCTCTGCTGGAACTCACCATGGGCTTGGCCTTGCCCATCACTGTCCCCTGCTTCACTCTCCCCACTGGAGCCTGGGCGGGATACTCCATGCAGCACATCCAGGTTGGGCTCCTCCAGGACACGGTCATTCATGAGGAATTGGGTAGTGTTGTAGGGTGCCAGGGCTTGGCCTTTGGCAAACATCTCCTCTCGGATCCGGGAGGCCCTCTGGCTCTGCCTCTCATCTCGCTGCTGCTTCTCAGCCCAGCTCAGCTCCAAGTAGGGCCTCCAGTGCCGCTTGCGTTTTGAAGGTCGCCTACGGTGCTTCTTCCGGGCTAGCACAGCCTCCACTGAGTAGCCCCCTGGGCTCTGGGTCCCGGAACCTTTATTGTTAGAACCTAGGCCACCACCAGCTGGGGCAATACCTTCATCCTCTGAGTGAATCTCCTTTTGGGGTGTCAGGAACTTGGAATCACAACAATCGTGAGACTCAGGGGCTATTTGGGGGCTCCACATACCACCAGAGGTCTAGAGAAAGAAGGGAGGATGGATCACAGTTAGCCTGTCCCTGGAAATGGAATCTCCCCTGCCCACCCGGCCTCAAGCCAGCCTTGTCACACCTGCCTCGCATGGTCCCTCTGCAGCTCCTTACACTTTTACAACCATTTACTTGATTATTGTTTTTGGCTTAATGCTCTGCTATCCTTGACTTGAGCTTTTTTTTTTTTTTTTATTTTATTATTTTTATTTTATGTGTATGCATGTATTGCCTGAATGTATGTAAGTGCACCCATGTCATGCAATACCTGTGGAGGACAGAAGATGCTGTCGGATGCCCTGGGACTGGAGTTACGGACGGTTGTTAGCTGCCATGTGGGTGCTGGGATTCGAACCCGAGTCCTCTGCAAGAGCAGTCAGTGTTTTTAATTGCTGAGCTGTCTCTCCACTAGCCTGGACTCGAACTCATGATTCTCCTGACTCTGCCTCCTAAGTAGCTAGGCTCCTGTTATTAGTGCATGACACCATGTTTAGCGCAGAACTTAACACTTTACTTAATGACTGTAAGCTATATCCCCAGATCCCTAGTGTTTTTACTCTCTTTGTTTTGAAATATAGTCTTAGTAAGTTGTCCAGGCTGACTTTGAACTTGCTCTAAGGCAGGCTTTGAACACGTAATCCCTGTCTTAGCTTCCAGAGTAGCTAGGATGATAGGTTTGTGCCACCTGGCCTGGCTTCAAACTTAATAAATCCTGCTTTCAGCTATTTGCATGGCTGACTTTTTCCCATCATTCAGGGTGTCAGTTCCAATATTGCCTGTACAGCAAAGCTCTCCCTAATAACCCTACCAAAGCAGCTCTCCCACATCCCTTCCCTAGCTACCCTATCATGCCACACAGATAACCTCACACATAACATTTAACATATCACCACTTACCATGTATCTTCATCCCTGAGAATATACCATTCTACCCCTATGCTCAGAAAAGATGGGACTGTATCACTTTTCTCTATGAGTAACAGAAAGAGTTCCTAACCAAGGAGAGGCTACCATGAGAGTTCTAGAACTTACAGGAGGCAGAGAAAGGATCTGTCAAGAGGGTGTATACATGCTCAGAGCATCTGCTTATCTGTGCTGTGGTGAGGGTGGGAATACTGGGTGGTGGGGGTAGGGAATGAATTGCTCTAAGTTTGTGGTTTGAGGGATTTCTAATAATAACCACTACCATTGGCATGTTGTTGTTGTTGTTGTTTTTAAATATAAAATACAACATGGCATCTGGGCAGGAGTTCTTTTTAAAGAACATTCATTTATTATGTGTGTGTACACATGAACCTAAGTGCCATAGAGTGTGTGAAGGTCAGAGGATAACTTGTGGGAGTTGTTTATCCTCTTCCACTATGAGGGTTCCTGGATTGAAGTCAGGTTGTTAGGCTTGGTGGCAAGTGCTTTTAACCTGATGAGCCATCTTTCTGGCCTCTGAGCAACTTAGGGTTTGCTTTGGGGGACATACTATGTGTCATCCTTTAAAAAACAGGGATATGGGGCTGGAAAGATGGCTCAGCAGTTAAGAACACTGTTCTTGCAGAAGACCCAGGTTCAAATCCCAGCACCAATATGGCAACTAACAACTGTCCATAACTCCAGTTCCAGGGGATTCAATGGTCTTTTCTGTTCTCCATGGGCATTGCATGACATGGGTGCACTTACATACATGCAGGCAATACATGCATACACATAATATATTTTTTAAAAAATAGGGCTATATTAGAGGCAGGCAAATCTCTGTGAGTTCAAGGCCAGCCTGGTCTACATAGTGAGTTCTAGAACAGCTGGGGCTACAGAGAGACCCTGTCTAAAAATAAATAAATAAATAAATAAAGGGATATATTATGTGTCTATGTATTTTTATTTGTTTGGTGGGGGTGAGTGGGTGTTTATGACAGGGTCTCACTTGGTAGCCCAGGCTGGTCAGGAGCTCATTCTATAGCCAGAGCTCGTCTCCAATATTCAGCAATCCTGCCTCAGCCTCCCAAGTGCTGGTATTACAGGTGTAAACCATCACAAGTGGCTTGTTATTTTAGAGACTCTAAGGGGAATGCTGGAGATAGGTAGGGGATATATTGGAGTGAGAGTGAGTAGGTAGGGGATATATTGGAGTGAGTATTGAGTATGGGTTGTTTATTGTGTTGCTTTACCTACAGGAAGAAAATCACCAGTTATAAGTGAGAGGCTTTGTTTCTACTGGTGGCTTGGGTCGACTGAGAGGGAGCCCTGGGAACGCTAAGGCAAACACTCAGCCACCTGTTCCCAGTCCTCAGGAAACGGTCCCTAGTGATTCTTCCCTCAACCCAAGCCAGCTCTGCCCCCTGGACCGACCATGCTGTCTCCTGTCTGAAGACTTACCCCTCTACCACCATTATAGAAGATAAGTCATGTAACCTGCATGAGTCGTTTGCCCTCTCTGAACCTTTCATGCCAAGAGTTTCAAATTAAATAAATCCAAGAAGCCCTGGAAATGGCTAGCACAAGACTTGCCTCAAAAAAACAAAACCCAGTGGGCATGGCAGCGCACGCCTTTGATCCCAGCACTCTTGAGGCAGAAGTAGGCAGATCTCTGTAAGATCAATGCCAGCCTGGTCTACATAGGGAGTTCCAGGCTGGCTTGCCAGCTGGAGCTATAGGGAGACCCTGTCTCAAAAAGAACAAAAACAAAAAACAAAAACAATAACAACAACAACAAAACACCGTTGGGCATGGTGGTTGCACACTTGTAATACCAGCACTCAAGAGGCGGAGGCAGGCAAATCTTTGAGTTCAAGGCCACCTTGGTGTACATAACAAATTCCAGGCCAGTCAGTGCTATATAGTGAGACCTTGTCTCAAAAAAAACCTCAAACAAACAAACAACAATAACAGGGGCTAGAGCTAGTAGCCTAGTGGTAAAGTGCTGTTTTACTGAGGTTCAAGCCCCAGCACTACCAAAACAACAGCAAAAATCGATTCTTTGACCCCCAGTTCTCTGATCTTTTTGCAAGTGTGGCTAAAGAGAGAATGGGTAAGATGGGACAGTGAGAAACAGCATGAGCTGTGGAGCAGTGAATTCCACAAGGTGGTATTCACTGAGGGCCTAGTAGCTGTCTCTCTCTCCTGAGTTATTTCCTGTTCTCTACCACCACCCCAACTTTTGGACAAAAAACCTCTTTTTCCTGCTTCATACTTGGTTCTCAGCCTGAAAACAATGCAAATATTCAACCAAGCCATTTGTCCTTGAAGTTATTTGTGCTTGAGTTCCAAGCAAAATTCTATTATCAGAAGACCCTAAGTTTAAACCCTGGAGTTATTGCTTATAGCTGCAAGACTCTGGAAAAGATATTTCAGCTCTCAAAACCTTAGCTTCTGTCAACTGGAAGTAAGTTCTACCTTGAAGGGCTACTAGGAATTCATGAGATGCTACTGACTTAGACTCTGGTCTATTTCCCAGAGCACAGTATATACTCATTTAAAACACTGGTTTTCAGCTGGTACAGTGGTATATACTGTAATTCTAGCACTTGTGAGGCAACAACGGGGTTGTTGCAACTTGGGAGGCCTCTGGGGTTACATAAGAAAGATCCTGTCTCACAGAAAGAAGAAAAGAGAGACAGAGAGAGAGAGAGAGAGAGAGAGAGAGAGAGAGAGAGAGGAAAGAGAGAAGGAGGGAGGTGGGGAGGGAGGAAAGAGAAAGAAAGGAAGGAAGGAAGGAAGGAAGAAAGGGAAAGAGGGAGGGAAGGAGAGGAGGGAGGGAAGGAGGAAAGAAAAAGAAAGAGAGGAGGGAGGTGGGGAGGGAGTAAAGAGAGCGAAGGAAGGAAGGAAAGAAGGAAGGAAGGAAGGAAGGAAGGAAGGAAGGAAGGAAGGAAGGAAGGAAAAGCAAGCAATCTACCAACACATTTGAAACAAAAAACTAGGGTCTCTACTGGCAGATCCAGTTTTAAGGCTTTCAGGTGGCTGGGAGGGGTGGGTACTTACCTTGACCTCTTCCAGGGCTGCTGGTGACTCTGTATTACAGTTGCTATGTTTCAGAGTGGCCATCTTCCCTGTCTTTCAGCAGAAGCCTTTATCTAGTGTCACCTATTTGAACAACAATAGAAACCTAAGTCCTCAGGCAGCATCTAGCTGCTTAGGAACTGTTTACCCCAGAAACGGCAGCCATTTTGTAGCCCCAGACCTACACACCTTCGCTTTCAAATGAAAGCTCTGAAGGCTGACTCCATACCCTGGTTTTCACAGCTGCAGCCAGCAAGGGCACAAACGCAATAGAGGGGCCATCTTTCTAGTCCTGTTCTTCAGGCCCCAGGCGCCTATGTCTTACATTCTACTAGAAGTCATTGAGGCCCTGGCTGGCAGCTAGGAAGGTAGGCTTAAGCTTTGTTCTCTCAACAGTTAAAAGTAGAAAAATAACTGCCTGGGGACGCTGGCAATGGGGTGGGTCTGTGGCTTCCACCAGAGAACATGGAGCAAGCTCCTGGAGGCCCTGATCTTGACTGCCCTCAACTCCTCTCCAAGCTAAGCTCCTGAAAGCAAGGCCTCTGGAATCATGGATGGAACCTGGACAGAGCCTATGGTTTAAGTCTTTTTTGTCCACAGGCCCCTGGCCTGCTTCCTGTCTTCCTCTGAAGACGGAGAAATAGAGGAAGGAGGGAGAAGTCCTTTTACATGCAACTGAGAGGGAAAATCAAATGGCGTAAGAATGCATTTCTTGGAAGAGGGAAATAACAGTCATGGAAGGGAGGTTTTGCAAAGGTGGAACTGACCTATTTGCTGTCAAGGACTTATGTACACCACTACCTCTGCGTGTCTTTCTGTGCGACCGCTTGTCCATGGAATTCTCAATGCCTCAGCCCTACCTCTCGCTGCAGTAGCAGCTGCTCAGGTCAAGCGGCTCAGGCACTAAAATGGGGGTGGGAACAGCCTGGCAGCGCGATGGCTGCTGGGAAATGTAGTTCTTCCAGGCTAGGCTCGCTGCCCAGGATACCGTCAAGTTCCTGTTACGTCAACAACCTATCTTCCTCGGCGTAGACTGCCCGCGTTCTCTGCTTCCTTCGTTGATTGGTTCACTCGTCTGCCAACCTTCCTCCTTTCCTCAACGATTGGCTGTGCGGAAGTACAACCAGACCCTCCCTGTCAGAGCTCAATTAAAGAGTTCATTGATGGCGTTAGTCTCCACCTGGAAGAAAAATAGATCCGGCGGTGGGGGCGGAGCTTGCGCGCGGAGGGATCCTCGGCCTAGAGGATGGCGACGAGAAGCTCGGTGGCCGTCGCCGCCGCCATTTTGGGCTGGGAGGAGGCAGCGGAGGGACTCGCTGCGCAGTGAGAGCACCCCGTGGGGGGTGGTCCGGGCGCGGGGAGAGGCCGGGCCGAGTGGGCTGCCTGATGTGGCGGCGCCGGGAGACGGCTGGGAGCGGGGCCGGGACCGTGTGGGGGTTGAAGGTTGGCGTCTCCCTGGCCGAGCCCAGGCCTCACAGCCCGACAGCCCCGCAGCCTCGCTTCTGAGAGCGGGTCCTCGGGTCACGGCCGCGTATTTCCCGTGACCCCAGTAGGGGAGAGGCTCGCCTGTGTGTGCTTCCACGGGGCTGCGGCTCCTGAGGCCGAGCCCCGTCAGGCCTCTCCCCACCCCCATTCGTCCTGGGTATGGCCGCCAGGCCCAGCTTAGCTGGGTCCCCATCTGACGGAGGAGGCGGGCGTGACGCTAGTTGCAGACTGCCTGGCGGGGAAGGGCCGAGGTTGGAGCTCCGGCCGCCTGCGCTCTGCAGGGCTAGCTAGCCGCAGGATGCGGGGGCGCAGAGCCCGGCACACCCACCTCTCCCCATCCCCACACCCCAGGGCCACCTCTCAGGGCTGCGAAGAGCAACAGCCCTCTAACTGCTATGGCAACTACCAACTCCCCTGGGACCGGCTAGACCGGGGCACGTGGAAAGCTCGAGCTCAGTGCTTGGAGATCTCTGAGCGCTCTTGCCCTCAGGATTTCTCCCATCCAGTATCGCTGACTTCCCTCCAATAACCTGACCTTGCAAGTCTCCAGCCACTTTTGCAAAAATTCCTAAGGTGTGCTGCCCCGCTTCAAAGAACACTAAAGGGATGCGGTTCTGCCCTTTGCAAGGGTGGAACACAAAATAATAGAGACACCACAGCCGGTGGGTAGGTATGGAGTGGCCCATTTTGGATTCTTCAAAAACAACTGTTTCCATTTCGAAATCCAAACCTTAACTTTTCCCAAAACTTGGGACGAGTGGCTGCCCTCCTACAGGGAAAACCCAGCCAATTCCAATGTGATACTTCTAAGATTACACAATCTCCTCTTTAAATGGGAGTATTTTAACGTGCCACTGTTTGCATTGTTTACTAGAGTGTGTCTTGTAGAAGGTACTTTGGATGTACTTAATATATGTGGCTTATAGAATGTAGGGGAGACATTGTGAAAGAATAAACTCCCAAAATTCTAGCAGTGCCAACTTCTAAAAGGGGCAATTTGTTGTGGTGTTCTCTTACTGAACTGCAGATTAACCATCTTGTTTTCCATCTATTGAAATGTAAATCTAAAGCCCAGGATACACCTTAAAATGATAGCTTTGTAGTTCTGGTGTCAGTTAAAATTGTGCCTAGGGAGGCTCTGAAATAGGAAGTTAACTAGACATTGGTATCTTTGTGGATACCTTGTGAAGAATTTTACTACCAATTGTAGGTGGTCAAATTCCAGGCCTCCTCCTTAACACCAGGACCCGTGAAAGTTTCTTCAGAGTTGAAGAGCTGCCCCTTGTATTAATAAAATTGTCCTTAAGTTATATGAATGACAACGTCCTAGCTTTAACTCTTCTCCTTCCACCCCTCGGATGTTTGCAGAAAAATCTTACAACTGTTTTGCAAAAATAGGATCACCATCAACTAGGTCTCTGTTTTTCAAGAAGGTCTCATTATAGCTGAGGTTGCCTCAAGCTCATTGCAGTCCTCCTGTGCCTCTCACCTGTGTGCTGGAATTACAGGTGTGAGCTACTATGCTAGCTTGCTTGGGGTTTTTGTTGTTGTTTGACACTTAAGAGTAGGTCATCTCAAGCAGCCTGGACTGACCTTGATCTCCTGGTATAGTTGAAGTTGGCCTTGAACTTCTGATAATCCTGCCTCCACCTCCCAAATGCTCAGATTCTAGATTTGTATCACCATACCCAGTGGAGGCTCTTTTAAGAAATAATTTATTTTGTGCATGCACACACCCACACACACTTTTTTTAGACAGGGTCCCTCTATATCCCAGGTTGGCCTAGAACTATCTGCTTGAGCCTCTCAAGTGCTAGGATTACAGGTGTGTACTACTGCATTTAGTCTCCAGACAGGGTTTCATGTAGCCCAGACTGACCTTGAACCCCCTTTGTAGCTGGGAATGACCTTGAACTTTTGGTCCTCCTGCTGCTACTCAACTGAGTTTTGGGATTACAGGAGTGTACCACCATACCCAGTCTGTGTGGTACTGGAGATTTAACCAGACTTTCTGCATTCGAGGCAACCATGTTGCCAATGGAACTACTTCTCTAGCCCCCATTGACTGGGGTTCTTAATTCAAAATAGGAACTTTATAATATATAAATATATATTATTTACATATATGAGATACGGTATTGCTTTGTTGTCTACTACATAAAGACCACACATTAAATTCATGGCAGTCTGCCTGCCTTAGCCTGGGGTGGCAGAGGTGTTAGCCACCACACCTGACTTTGACCCCTTCTAACTGAAGCTTCCTATAGTTTCATTTTTGCCATGTTTACCCTGAACAGGAGGTGAAGAGACTGGTATGGTGGCTCATGACTAATCCCAGCACTCAGGAGGCAGAGGTAGGAAAATTACCCACAAATTGAGGCTAGCCTGGGCTATAGATTAAGATCCTGTCTAAAAAAACAAAAGGCTGGGCATAGAACTCAGAAGTACTAACCTAACATCTTCAAGACATGGGTGAGTGGGGAGAGTTAGAAAAAAAAATGACACTAACCTGGTGGGAGTAAAACAGTCATACAGCTGAAAGGGGGTTTAAAGGTTATCTTTGTGGTGGTTCTATCAAGAATTTATTGGAGGAGGATCCTAGACTCTGATTCATCCTCCATTGTGAAGTAATCCAGTTAAACCTTTGGATGCTACTAAATGTCAATACTATACCAGGTGCAGAAATTTGTTATGGATTTACGGATGAAAACTTAACCATCCTTAAGGCTGACACAAACTTTTTTCCATTCCTTAATTTTAAATAGCTAGTAATAGCCAGGTATGGTAGTTCATGACTATAATTCCTATACTCAGTAGGCTGAGGCAGTTTGATGTTTTGGACAGCACCAGTCTGAGCTATAACTAAGATTCTATCTCAAGACAGTAGTAGTGATGCACGCCTTTAGTCTCAGCACTCGGAAGGCAGATGCTGGCAGATCTTCTGTGAGTTCAAGGCCAGCCTGGTCTACATAGCGAGTTCCAGACCAGTTGGGCTACAGGGAAACTGTGTCTCAAAAAGACCCAACCCCCCCCCAAAGAAAAAAGGAAAAAGAAGATTCTATCTCAAAAGACAAAATTGGGGGGGGGTAGATAAATCAGTCGATAAAGTACTTAAGCAGGTAGGTCCCCAGAACCCAGGTTTCTTTAAAAAACAATGCTAGGGAGGCAGAGACAGGTCTCTCGGGCTTGCTGGCCAGACAGTCAAGCATCATATTTCACTAGTTCCCGCCAGTAAAAAATCCTGTCTCCCCTGGCGTGGTGGCATATGCCTTTAATCCCAGCACTTAGGAGGCAGAGGCAGGTGAATCTCTGTGAGTTCGAGGCCAACCTGGTCTACAGAGTGGATTCCAGTCAGCTGGAGCTACAGGGAGACCCTGCCCCAAAAAAACCCCCCCCCCAAAAAAAAAAATGCTGTCTCAGGGCTAGAGAAATGGCTCAGCAGTTAAGAGTACTTGCTCTTACAGAGGGCCTGGGTTCAGTTTCCAGCAGATACATTGACGCTCACCTTTTGTAACTCCAGCTCCAGGGTTCCAACATCCTCTTTTGGCCTTTGTAGGTATTGCATGCACCTGGTGCATATACATGCAGGCAGACAAAACACACACCTAAAAATAAGTAAATTTTTTTTTTTTTTTTTGGTCTTTTTGAGACAGGGTCTCCCTGTAGCCCCAGCTGGTCTGGATTCGCTATGGAGACAAGGCTGGCCTCGAATTCACAGAGATCCATCTGCCTTTGCCTCCTGAGTGCTGGGATTAAAGACGTGCACCACCACGCCCAGCAAAATAAGTAATTTTTTAAAAGTTCTGTTGGGGGCTGGAGAGATGGCTCAGTGGTTAAGAGCACTGACTGCTGATGCAGAGGACCCGGGTTCGATCCCCAGCACCCACATGGCGGCTACAAACCATCCTTAACTCCAGTTCCAGGGGAATCCAAAGCCTCCTTCTAACCTCCAAGGCATTGCATGATATGGGTGAACTCACATACATGCAGGCAATACACTCATACACATAGAAAAAATACATATTTTTTAAAGTTCTGTCTAGCTGGGCGTGGTGGCGCATGCCTGTAGTCCCATCACTTGGGAGGCTGAGGCAGTGAGTTCAAGGCCAGCCTGGGTCTACATAGTGAGTTCCAGGACAGCTGGGGCCACAGGGAGACCCCGCTTCAAAAAGACCAAAAAAAAAATAAAAAGTTCTGTCTAAAAAGGGTGGGATGGGGAATGGCACCCAAGGAAGGCCAAGGTGTCCCAAAGGCCTCCATACA